TTGGCGGGTTACTATTTTGGGATAAAGTAATCCTGACATTGCGGCCAATCATCTGCAATTACTCTTCGGAGTATGGAAGGTATTAAATGTGCATTTAATGCGCGTACTGTATCTTTTCCGTTCAAGACTCCTAGCCGTTGAAGGAATCTTTCAGTTGGTTTTCCGGCTTGGTGGAATTCTTCCAAGTGTCAGGCATTCTGGTGACTTTAGTAGAGAGTTGATCAAAGAAGGTATTGAGCACTTCTGTTGAAAAGATATCCAACAGAGAACCAGGAGGGTTTCTGTCAGAGTAAAGGCTAACAGAGACCCTGAGGTCTTCTGTTCTGAAGCAGAGAACCAAAGGTCCTCTATTCAACCAATGCCTTATCAAGGGTCTTCTGCTCAGGAGGCTTTCTGCTTTGAAGGTCTTCTGCTCTGTAGGCCTTCTGCTAAGTCGATTATACTAAAGAATTTTACAAAGGAAAATTCTAATACATTAAGTCTAAAGAGGGGTACTCTAAAGTCCTAATTAATCTAGCATCATCAAAATCTAATTACAAATATTCCTTACACCAGGTAAGTCATCACTACCTATACATGATAGTTTGAAATGAAACATGGAAGTCTAGCTAGCTGTCTATGAATTGGATGGATTTGCTTGAACACTTGAATTTGTTTGGCATAAGATTATGTGAATGTCGTGTTATGTGTATGTGTTTATAGGTGATGTGGATTGAGAACTTGTGGAGTTATCAGTGTAAGGTATCCAAGTTCTATGTTTATGGTTAGGTTGGATTTATATGGAATCCAACAATGAATGAAAGTTGTGATGATAATGATATCTAATGAATGATAAGAAATGTTCTAAGGTAGCCGTTCCCCAAGTAATCACCTGAGCTGAACGGAGCGGGATCTCCTTCCGCGGGGAGTCCCGGGATTACTTCTGATGGCTGCAGGCTAGCTACCCACGGTCATTAGTGAGGGGACAGGACACGAGCTACGGGCCCATCAAGTCAAGTAGCAAGATAGGAAGAAAGAATGATGAATGAGGAAATCTTTTAGATTTCGTTACGTGAAGTTGTGCTTTACATGATATGAATATGTGTGTGAATATTCTATGTGTGGAGTATTCTAGCTTATGTATCTAATTATGGCTAGCTAAGACTCCGTTATTTTAGTGGATGTAATGGTGACTTACTAAGCAAATTTTGCTTACGAGACTTCTATTTTCTCGTATTCTCATGTATAGGTAATGAACGAGGTACGGAAGCCTAGGTGAATGTATGGAGCCGGTGACAAGGTTTTGGATGGGTTAACGTAGAAGATCGGGCTATCAGTTATGTTTTGGTTTTAGTACGTTGGTACTTCAAAGGGTTGTTAAACGTTTTTAAAATCCTGATCAGGTGTAATGGTTTTACAATTGTTTTATTTTGGATGCATTTCATTATGGTTGTAAGGTTTGATTTGTTCTAAAGGAAATAAAGTCTCATATTGAGGCTTTGTATCTTTATTTCCGCTTGATTTATCGAGTCTCTTTTATGTTTGAGTATCGTAATGGCCGTTTTGGGGACGGTCGTTACACTTTAGCATTTGTGGAATTTTTTTATCCTAATGAAGTTTAATAACCCCATATATTTTATGGAAAGTCGAGTCCGTTGATTGAACGTAATCCCATCATTCCGATCCAACCAATACACAAATCAATCAGTCAATTCACACTAATCAAAGCCAATCAAATCAAATGGAAGCCGAACTTCTACCTTAAGTGTATGTGCACCTTCTCCGGTTAATAAGATGTCTGGGTAGTCGAGATTTTTCTACCAACTACACTATAATTAAATTGGGACAAAAAAATTGGGATATCCACTTTCGGGAGATATTCCTGGCGGAATTCAAACTTATAGTCCTTAACACTAACCAATCCACAATTATCCAGGTGTGATAAACCGACACTACAAATTTGACCGGGTGCTCACGAAAATCATAATTCACCTCAACAAAAACGGATATGAAATCCAAATTTTACAAAGTTATTCATAACATATAATATTAATTCTAACAAGCTACACTCAAATGTATCATACTTCGTAAATAACTCAAGACTCAAATCTCAATTCAATAACGATATATATATATGTGTATATGTGTGTGTGTGTGTGTGTAAATTCAAATAATCAAAGATATGGATGAATATCCAATACTCTAATCTCCAATGTAATTCTTATTCAGAACTAATAAATAATTTTAAAAGTTAAAAATCAAATCACCTAACAATACATAGATGTAAAAATATAATTATGATTGACATAGTACTTACCTCAACCCCAAATACTCTAGGAAGTTCTTCTATCTTTCACAATTCTCCTCACTAAACTCACCTTCTATTTAAAAAATCTGAAGTCAATAGCTATCCAAACTAAAGTCTAATTCTTCTACCCTTAATTACAAATTCTCCCTTTTATGATTTAATAAATAATTAATCTCTATAATAGTCTATTTATACCTATTGATCTATTTAATTTACTTATTTAATATTAAACGAATTTAATTTTATTAGTATTATCCAGCAGCCTAATCTAGTTTTTTTTAAAAAAGACTTAATTATTAATAATAATGAGAGTAACAACAGACAACGCAATATAATAACTCAAGACTACACTGGAGTGAGACATAGAATTGACTAGCCTCTAAGGACCTATCAAATTCGCTAACCGCACATCATGGTAGACTAATCTAACAACATCGCTGCACTTGCTACTAAAATTTGAGATAACTAAACAAGAATTCCTTAAATAAAAACAATAAAATAATTCAATTGTCCCGATTTTACCAGACACCGGGAAGGGAGAAGAGGTGTGTCCATCCACTTCGAAAGGAAGCACCCCAATTTTACCAGTCACCGGTAAGGGAGAAGGTGTTTGATCAGCCACCTTCAAAGTAAATCATCTTGTTTACAGGACCTCCTAGTATTTTATGCGGTGCTGTTCTGGCAGCACTGCCGTCTTGCCATTTTTTATCCCTCGTCATGAACCAACAAAATTGGGATTGCTGTTCTGGCAGCACTCCTTTGACTTCATTGACATCCTTTCATCAGTCTAATTTAAGCTCTCCATTAATGGCCAACAAAATTGAAAGCCGAATCCTAGACAGAGAAAAAGGAGTAAAATTCACGAACAAAAGCACTAACACGTTCACAACTGAAACGGACCAAACCCTCGGCCAGAAAAAACTCAGCCGGACGAAACAAATATGAACCGAAAAACAGTCGGAAAAGAAATCACAAGCGATGAAAAAACCTGAGAGGAAGATCGCAAAAACTACCCCATATACCATCCACTTTCGTTGCTGAGATTGAAGTAGAAGACAGACAGGCGCCCGCCGCTCTCTTCTAGGTAGATCAGATCTTCGACGCATCTCTATGGTTCATCCCTCATCTTTGCTGCCCTCTAGGGTTATGGAAGTCGCTTCACCCGTGTTCTACTTTTTTAGCAGCCCAATCTATAGTTATTATTGTTATTATTATAAGTTATTATAAAGGGAAAACTGTCAAATAGGTCCTCGAACTTTCATAAAAAAGTCAATTAAGTCCTTCTATAGGAGATTATGTCCGATCGTCGGGATTTGGGGCGGTTCCCGGTGGAGTTTTTTGATTTATTTTTTTGAGCATCTTATTCATCAAGTCTAGTTTACTCATACCAAATTTCAGCTAAAAAATTAATCGGGAGCGCATTCAAATTAATTCAAGAATGCAAAAATGCGCAGTTATCTTCAAGAATTAATTTGAATGTGTTCCCGATTGAATTTTTAGCTGAAATTTGGTATGAGTAAACTAGACTTGGTGAGTAAGATGCTTAAAAAAGTTTATCAAAAAATTCCATCGGGAACTGCCCCAAATCGCGATGACCGGACAGAACCTCCTATAGAAAGACTTAATTGACCTTTTTAGGAAAGTTCGAGGACCTATTTGACACTTTTCCCTATTATAAATGTTACAAGGCGGTCTAAAATAGTCTAAAACCAAAGAATAAGTCTCATAATATACTCCCTCCGTTCTAAAAGGATTGACCAAAAATAGTCTAAAATGGTGTTAAAGTTTGGGCATTTTCCTTCAGTACTATCAAATTAAAGCAAATTTCCAAAAATGTGATCATTTTTATAAAAGGACAAAAATGTGACTAAGAAGGTCACATATTTGAAATAACATGATGTCACTGTATTTTTATGTCATTGCCATATTTTTATGTCACTTTTATATGTCACTGTCAGATGTTTATGTCACTTTTGAATGTCACTACCAGATTTCGTGTCACTTTAAGGTGTCACTGTTACCGCGAAACGTGTCACTATGTTGCCGGAAATTTTCGGTGACTTTTTCTGACGTCCCCGTGACCTAGCTAGATTAACTCCGGCCACCAGTTCACCACCGCCATCCACCGACCTTCAACCGCAGCCGACCCTCCCCCAACCCCAAAACCCCTGACTTGCACCCCCTGCTTCCAGTGGCCCCAATACCCTAGCTATCACTTCCCCATAGCCCCTGCCCGGGCCTGCCAGCCAACCCCTATCCTCAAGGACCTCAACCACTTCCCCTCCCCCTGCACTAACCACGCCCAAGTTCGCAACCCCTAGCCCCCTCCCCAGTCCCTCCCTACCTTCCCCTAGCCCAAATTCTGTCCGAATTCATCGCAATACCCCAAACAAAACCAACCCTAACCGTTTTCATCTAGATCTGGATCACCATCGGTGTTGCTCCCACTACTAGAATTTTCGTCATTTGCAGTTCCTTATTTGCTGCGGTTATTTAGTAGTCCGCAGCAATATGTTAAAAGATTGAAGTATTTGCTGCGGTCATCTCATAACCGCAGCAATTAACGCAAGAAATTTGCTTTGTTTGCTTCAGTCATAGCCTAACCGCAGCAATAGTTTTTAAAAAAATTAATTTATTCACCATTTGCAGCGGGGTCAAAGCAACCGTAGCAATAAGTAAGAAGATCCCATCTGGCCAAGTAAAAGTTTTGAAGCTCATGTATGTTAATTACGCATTTTCGGGCGTAGGCATTATCTGTCTTAAACTTTAATATTGGAGCTTGGGTCATGTCCTCTCCAATCTTGTGACTTGTAAATTCTCTTATTAATTGACCTCGTAAATGTTCCCCGACATTTATCACACCGTTAATCGGTGGTTTTCGGGATTAAAAAAATTGAAAAGGAAGTCCAGCGAATTGAAACGGGTAAACCTACATACATAGTGCACCTCCATTAGCTCGCAGATCAGATCCGCCGGCCTCCTTCGCTCCAACCATCTACCTCGTTCCAGCCGCAAGCCACCATCGTCTCAGCCGTTTCCGTCCTGGTAACCGGCTGGTAACTTCCGTCTCCTCCGCCCCTCCCAACAGCGCACTGGATGCTTCAGCCGCACACTGCAACTGCTCTCAGTACAGTCGCTGGCCTCTTCCTCCTTTGCCATATTTGCTCAATAGAGGTTTAGTTTCTAACCTTTTGTCATTTCATTTAACTTATTGAATTTTATCAATTTTTAGATTAATATTTGTATGAATTTATTGCCATGAATAAATTGAACCCCAACGAGTATAGAATTGGGTACAATTTTAACAAGACTTATTTGCTAATTCTGGATATGTTTTATTGTATTGGGCCTTTATGTATTGGGCCTTATTTGTATTGTTTTATACTTAGTATATATACCATAGGTTTACATTATTTTTAGGTTAATTAATTCATATTCAACTTCTTTCTTCTTCCGCAGACTCTCCCTGTAATATTCATCTCTTCCGCTACTCTCTTTGATTTCTCAATTCGATCAATTCTTCAGATTCTTGTAATCAAATTGTTAATATGGTATCAGATTAGGTTCTGATCTCTATCATCTTTTCTGATTTCATTTTTTTTCTCGATTTCTATAATCGATCTTCATCATATAAAACCCTAGTTCTTCGCTCAAATTTTTGATGCGATGAGTCATTCTGCTACATTACCCTTGCATCCTCTTGATGATCCTTCATCTCCGTACTACCTGCATTCAAGCGACCGCGCCGGTCTGCGTATCATCTCTGAAACGCTTCATGGAGACAATTTCAATGCTTGTCAGAAGTCGGTTGTGATGGCATTTTCTGTAAAAAAACAAGATGGCTTTTCTGGATGGTTCCATCGAGCAGCCCAGTACAGATAATTCCGCTTCTTATGCTGTGTGGTATCGTATCAATGCTCTCTTATTATCTTGGCTGATTTACTCTATTGCGCCTGAACTTCGTTCTACTTTCTTCTACTTTACTGTTGCGAAAGAACTATGGGATGAAATTAAACTTAGATATGGTAAAAGTGATGGTCCTAGACTTTTCTATCTTGAAAAAACCCTAGGTAATATTTCTCAAGGCACTCAGACTATTACTGCTTATTACAATTTTTTCAAAGGACTCTGGGATGAATACGTAGATTTCAAAACACTTCCTCCTTGTTCCTGTAGCCTTTACACTTGTAAAATTCATGAAAAATATCAAAAATTGCTTCAGAAAGAATCTGTTCAGAAATTTCTTGTTGGATTAAATGAATCCTACTCACATTTAAGAAGCCAAATTCTTCTTCAAAAACCTTGTCCTAATCTTTCCTCTGTTTATTCCTTCTTTCTCCAAGAAGAATCTCAAAGAACTCTTCAATATCCTGCCAACTCTGTTCCTTTCACTCACGATTCTTCTAAAACCTTGGATAATTCTTTCAATGATTCCACTGCCTTTCTTGCTAAGAATCAAAACTATAAGAAAAAATCCTCTGTCACTTGTAACCATTGTGGTTACCAAGGACACTTTGCTGATAGATGTTTTCAAATCATTGGTTATCCACCTAATTGGAAAGGACCTAAAGGACACAGAACTGCTCCTGGATTTCAACAATCATCTTATTCCCACAAAAACACTCAAGCTCATCTTGCTAATGCATCTGTTGATTCTTCTTCTAATGATATGGATCTCTGTGACCCTTCTCTTTACAACAAGTTTTTAGAATTTATAAAGGGTCAACATGAAAAAGCTTCTGCAAATGTTGCTATGGTTGTTCCTGTCACTGATCAATCTCCTCCTAGTGATTCTAATTTCTTAGGTAATCATTCTGTCTTTCTTTCTACTATTACATCTATTATATGGATTTTAGACACTGGAGCTTCTGATCACATGAATCGTGATTTTACTTTATATACTTCTACACCCAAACCTATTTCTATCAAAATTCAATTACCTACTGGATTTTTTATTACTGCTACCCATATAGGAAATGTTAGGCTTAACAACAATCTTACTCTTCATAATGTTCTTTATGTTCCTAAGTTTAATTTCAATCTTATATCTATTTCTAGTCTGGCATTACATGAAAATATATCTGTTCATTTTTCTTCTAATCATGCTACTTTGCAGGATCATCACACCAACACAATGATTGGTTATGCTGATCTCAAAAATGGTTTATATCTGTACAACTCTACTGATTCTTCTACTCATAATAAATCTGCTACTGTTAATCATGTTCATAGTCAATGTTCTGACTCCAAATATGATATTTGGCATTATAGATTAGGTCACCTTCCTTTTAATAAACTGAATGCTATTGTTGATTGTAATGTTTCTCACCATATCAATAAAGATACTGCTTGTGACATTTGTCATTTTGCTAAACAAAAAAAATTACCTTTTCCTGAAAGTGTTTCCTATGCTTGCAGTCCTTTTGAACTTGTTCATATGGATGTCTAGGGTCCCTTTAGAGTCCAGTCTTATTCTGGTTTTCAATATTTCTTAACCATTGTTGATGATCATACTAGATGTACTTGGGTTTTTATGATGAAAAACAAAACTGAAGTTAAATTTCATATGATGAACTTTTATAATCTTATTCTTACTTTTTTTTTTACCCCGGAAGGTAAACCACCAAAATCAGTGGGGCAAATGCCAGGAGAACATTTGCCAAATTTATTAAATCAAGTAGAGATTACACAATGAGGGGGGACAAGACCAAACCTCAAATACAAAAAGTACAAAAGAAATCAAATCAAAAATCTAATAGATGGATGCCCAAAGAAATCCATATTTAGAGCCCGATTAGCCTTGATAGGGAGACTACCCATGTTCCTAAAAATCTCCAACTGGGCCGCTCCTTCCGAAGCCAACATATGAGCGACCCAATTACCCTCACTCATTTTAATACAAAAATCAAAACTATTAGAACTGATAATGGGACTGAATTTATTTTTCCAACTTTTTATTCTAATAATGGCATCATTCATCAACTGTCTTGTGTTGAAACTCCTCAACAAAATGCAAGAGTTGAAAGAAAACATCAACATCTTCTTCAAATTGCTAGAGCTCTTTTATTTCAATCTTGTTTGCCTCTTATGTTCTGGTCTGATTGTATACTCAATGCTGTTCACATTATTAATAGACTTCCTACTCCTATTTTAAATAACAAATCTCCTTATGAGCTTCTATATGGTAAGGCTCCTGATTATTCTCATTTAAATGTTTTCGGTTCCCTTGTTTATGTTAGGGAATTGATGTAACGTACCTCGAAAGTACGGCAGCGGAAGTTTAAAATTTTCCCAAACATATCTTCCCTGATTATGACAAAATAACGAATGTGATAATAATAACAGATCTGAGTTAGAACTTACAGATCTTCCAGCCTAGCGGTAATACTCCTTGACCTTTGGTATCCACGTGATTTCTCCTTTCCGAAAGAACGGTTAGATCTCCCTAAGAGAAAGGCTAGGAAATCTCTTCGCTGGGAAATAAACTGGTAAATACTGAATCTGAAAACTTGTGTGTCTAATTATGAAGGAGGTGGATGTATTTATACTAGTTCTAAACTAGTTTCTGAATCACAATGAAAGTCTTTCTAATTAATGAGTCCTAATCCCGCTAGGACCAATACTCCTTATTAATTAAATAAGTAGATAAAACAAACCAAAATAATAATAATAATAACCACAATAGAGAAGTGGTCTTACGCCACTCTCTATTTATTATATATATTATTATTTAGTTTATTTACTTTTCTTTTTAATTCTAAATTACAAAAGAAAATATCAACTTTATTAAATAATAAATACATCTTAATTAAGTATAATAAATCTAATTTATCACACTTAATTAATTCTATCAAATAGAACACTCCTTCAACATCATGAATTAAATATATTTAATCTAATTAATATTTAATCCATTTTCAGTATTATGAATTAAATATTATTTAATCCAATTAATAATATTTAATTCCCTTCTAACAATTCAATCGGAAGGTATAATCACTTATTGTGTGACCCATAGGGCCTTATATATTAAGCACTAATCAAATTAAGGTCTTAGTAGAATCCCTAGATGATTTACCAGACAATCTTAATATATAAGGACGTTTGCGAGGACTATTCAAACTCCCTGTAATATAGAGCTCATAGTGATACGGTCCTTTCATTCAGCGAACATTCAACTAAGTCTAGAACATGATATTGTGTCTATTCCAGTAACTCAGTCTCTGTCTCTCAATCTTTCTAGATGATCCATAACGATCATATTCGATATCCAAAAACGAATATATCTTTGCATTGGCCAATGACTTTATGATCCATCTAGATATGAGAAGTAGAATGTTCTCTCTTAATCTATTATGAGGAATGAATCCTTTCTTGGCTCAACTACTACTCCATGTGCTTCGTGATGCACCCAAAACATGCCGTATCTACCCCGATTGGAGTGCAAGCGTTGGTCATGGTCAATGTACATCACTCCGCACATGTAGTACATATTGACCTCAAGTCGGAGGACTATTACACTACTCTATACGCCGATAATCCCATAGACACATGAATATAACTTATCAAATGGTTTCTCGGTGGGTATGCCAATATTCTCTAAAATATCTATGTGACCATCATGAATTACAGGAACTCATAGTCGTGAGATCAACTATACTTTCTAAAAGTATGATGCAGTCCACATACCAATCTTATCGCATATCATCAATATTCCATTCTTGATGATCATTGATTGGGGCTATTTTAGGACCTTATGTTATATCATATAAGCTCCCACTTACTTATTGACAACATAAATCCAAGGGAACACCATTATGAATAAAACATTGACAATCGAAAACAATCATTCATAAAGTGTAATATCGTGTATATATCAAATATAAAAACTAAATGTGACCAAGTACATATGTCTTTAAAAAAATGATTGTCGCTAGGACATATATACTAACAATCTCCCACTTGGCCTAGTGCCAATCACCAATGCGTCTAACACCTAGATTCTGAAAATGTCTAGTATGTTTCTCGCAGCTCAAAGGTTTGGTGAAGAGATTAGCCAAATTGTCCTCAGTGGAAACACGTTCTATTGTAACCTCTCCTCTTGCTATCTGCTCTCGAATCACATGATAGCGCCTCGGCACATGTCCATTCCTCTTGTCGCATCTTGGTTCCTTTGCTTGTGCAACAGCACCAGTATTGTCACAATAAATGGTTATTGGATGACTATCATTTGGAACAACCCCTAATTCTTTGAGGAATTCACGTATCCATACGGCCACTTTAGTTGCTTCTGATGCAGCAATGTACTCGGCTTCTGTTGTCGAATCAGCTGTAGTGTCTTGCTTGGAACTCTTCCAGTCTACTGTTGCTCCATTGAGATTAAAAACATATCCTGATTGTGACTTATAGTCATCCTTATCTGTCATGAAGCTAGCGTCAGAGTAACCAGATGCTATTAGTTTCTCTTGTCCACCATAAACCAAGAAATATTCTTTAGTTCGTCTAAGATACTTAAGAATAGTCTTAACATCACTCCAATGTCGTTCTCCTGGATTATTTTGATATCGACCAACAATACTAAGCGCATAAGCCACATCTGGCCTAGTACAGATCATAGCATACATGATTGAACCAATTGCAGAAGCATATGGAATCCCTCTCATGTGTTTGATCTCATTATCAGTTGAAGGACTATCCTTCTTTGATAACGATATCCCATGACCCATCAGGAAGAATCCTTTCTTAGATTCTTCCATTTTAAATCGATGTAGTATTTTGTCAATATACGTGGATTGTGAAAGACCTAACATCCTGTTAACTCTGTCTCTATAGATCTTAATCCCAAGGATATAACAGGCTTCACCTAGATCTTTCATCATGAAGATATTGGATAACCATTCTTTCACAGACTTCAATAAGGGGATATCATTCCCTATGATCAGAATGTCATCAACATATATGACCATAAAGACCACACTATCCTTGCTGCGTTTTGTATACACACACGCATCCTCATTGCTTCTGATGAAGCCAAACGATTTGACCGCTTCATCAAAACGGATATTCCAACTCCTTGAGGCTTGCTTTAGCCCATATATGGATTTCTCCAATTTACATACTGATTTGGGATTTGACTTGGATATAAAACCTTCAGGTTGTACCATGTACACCTCCTCCTTGAGGTTTCCATTAAGGAAAGCAGTTTTGACATCCATTTGCCAAATCTCATAATCATAGTATGCTGCTATCGCAAGCAAAATTCGAATGGACTTGAGTTTTGCAACTGGCGAATAGGTGTCACTATAGTCAATTCCCTCTCTTTGACTATAACCTTTAGCCACTAGCCTAGCTTTGTATGTTTGTACCTTGCCTTCGGCATCAATTTTCTTCTTGAAAACCCATTTGCATCCAATGGGTCTAACCCCAACAGGCAAGTCAACCAAGTTCCATACTTGATTGATATACATCAAGTCCATTTCAGATTTCATGGCCTCTCGCCACCTCTCTGAATCAATATCTAATATTGCTTCAGTGTAAGTCTTAGGTTCATCCTAGTCAGGAATTTCAACATCAGCATGATCCTCCATGAGGAAGCCAAACCTAGTTGGTTCATGACGAATCCTAGTAGACCTACGAAGTTGAATATTTTGCGATTGTTCAGGCTGCTCATTCTGACTGTGAAGAGGTTCTCTTTCATTGGACTGTCCAATGCTCGGAGAATTTTCTGGTGCTACACTTTTAAGTGTTTCCAGAGAAGGAGAGGTAGGTGCAGAAGGAATGACAACCATGTCATTTCTTTCATGCCTAATAGGAACCACTTGCTGGTGCGAGGTGCTTCCTATATTACTCCCACTAGCTGAAGGATATCCTCCTAGAGACATACTTCCGCTTAATCCTCCCACTGAATCCTTGTTTTGACCATCTAAGAAGTCTTCATCCTCTATGTTATTTTGTGATTCTTGAATTTCTTCTAGTACTATCTTCTCACGATTGAATTCCTTGAAGACCAAGTCTTCTTCTAGGAATCGTGCCTGTCTGGAAATAATGATTTTATGTTGCTCAGGATGATAGAAATAGTATCCCCTAGTTTCTTTGGGATACCCCACAAAATAACATCTCTCACTTCTAGCTCCTAACTTATCAGTATGCAGTTTCTTTACATAAGCAGGGCAACCCCACACTTTAATATGTGAAAGAACAGGCTTCTTATTACACCATAACTCATATGGTGTCTTTTGCACTGATTTAGATGGAACTCTATTCAGAATGTATATCGAAGTTTGCAATGCATACCCCCAAAGAGATGTTGGAAGAGACGTGGAATTCATCATGGATCTAACCATGTCTAACAAGGTTCTATTTCTCTTTTCAGAGACACCA